AATAGTTCATTCACTGTCGTGTATGGTATTTATAGCTGTCGAAAAAAACCCTTTCTATAATAGTAATAATAAAACAAGAATATAATATTTATTTGTTCTTATTGTGTAATAAAAATGTAATTATTCTCTCGCAATCTGGATTATTCATCCAGACCCAGTGTTATTGTTGGCACTCGTTCCCTTCTTTAATTGATGTGGGAGCCTTCAATACATCTATTTGGGGCCCGATGTCCTTGCTGGCACACTGTCTTGTATCTACTTCTTTAGTGCTCCGCCTCCTCGCTGGTACATCGTCTTGATGTCGCTTTTGAAATCATTTATAATAGTTCAAACTTAGTAGATATTGTTCTCTTTATACTTTTCATTTGTAAAAATAGTTTAGATCTCACTCGTTGAGACGTGGGGTTTGGGAAAAGTGTGCTGGAATTAAATAAGTAAGCAAAACAAATGGCGGAGTGAGGAAACCCATTAACTCAATAAAAAATAAAAACAAAAACATACGGCTGACACGTGGCCCAATACACATAACCTTGATATCCACCCAAAATTCTCCCATCAAATTCCCTATTTATTTTATTCATTTTAACTTAATTTATTTTATTTCATAACAATAATGTATATTAAATATATACACATTTAGTCAATAATACATTGAAACTTGAACCTACCACCTTTGTAGAGATAATGAAATTATGTTTTTTTTTCTTTATTTTTATTTATGAGATTTTAAATTTATCTTATTATAATATATATACATATATATATGTATGTATATTAATGTAAATTGATATATTTATAAAAATTTAAAATTTAAAATTTATGCACTTGACATACAAAAATTTGATATAATTATTGGTAGTTAATTTTTTTTAATTTATGGACAAAAAAAGAAAAAAAAAGCAATATATTATCTATTACGAGTTTATAATTTTATATAGTATGATACGATTTTTGTTTGTAGTATGTTTAGTGTTCATTTGAGATTTGACTTTTGTCTTGGATTATGTTGTTTATGTACAATTTAAAAGCTTGTATTATATTTTGTTCCGTACTTGACTTACGAACTGGTGTAGTACTCATCCCTATCTCTAAAGAAGTTTATGTACTCCACTCACTGTCGTATAAACGAGCATTAGAGCAAGCGAGGGAATCCTTCAATTTAGGAGCTTCTCCCCTTATCCCTCACCCTACCCTTTCATTTATGCTTAAGGTTCTCGAGTTTGGGGGATTAATTGATTGGATACTGGAGAACCATAATCTTTTAGGGTTTAGGATTTAGAAAAAAACAAAAAAAAATAAAAATAATGGTTATTTCAATAATTTTTCGATTTCAAGAGGATATACAAAGTTTGCACACGAAACAAAATCTCTAATACATTTTAATCCCCAATCAAAAATTAATAATTTCTATATATAATTAGAACAATGTGACGTTAACACTATAGTTTATAATAATCGAAATATGATTTAGTTTGACATTTTATATAATTAAATATATTTCTAACCAATTATTTTGGAAATTTGTTACAATTGGGAATTACATTAAATAAATATTTTGAAATATATTAGGACAAAAAAGTTTAATAAAATCATCTCAATGATGTTTTTGTTTATATATAACTAATTTTGTAGTTTTGTAGAAGCAAATTGGATGATTTAATAATTTGCAATATTGAAGAATGTCAAGGTTGCCGCAATTATAGCTAGAAACCTATTAATTAATTAATATAATATAAATAACCGTGGAATGGCCCAGGCAAATAAATTAATTAATTTTTAAAAATGTTGTGGAAGGAAAAGAAAAATCCATAATAGTCGTCATAATTTGTAAGTAACTAAAATTCTCAACATCCTAAAGATTTTATTTTATTTTTTTAATTTTATTTGAAATTGACATCTGGAAGATTAGGGAGCTGTAAGTATGAAATAATAAATAAAAAAATAAACTTCAATTATTATTGACACCCTGGCTGTCCTTTAAAATGGAGTATTTATTAAATCTTATTTATAAATCATATACATATATATATTCGTTTCTATCTGATTATAAGCTAGTATTTTTAAAATTTTAAAAAATATATTTTAATTAAAAATTAAAAAATATATTTATAATTAGTCTTGTATTTAAAAAAGTACCTTTAAATTTTATTGGTCTTAATAAGTACTTTATTTTTATTTATTTCTTAGTTTTAAAAATATCTTTATTATTAATTTGAAGTTAAAAAATAGCCATAAAATTTTAAAATAGTATTAATTATCTTTATTTTTATAAAAAAATTTATTTATTTATTTTTTTAAACGTAATATTATTGATTTCGTCTCTGTATACTAATTTAAATAATATATTTTTTAGTTTTGAAAAATAATTTAAATAATATATTTTTAAAAAAATTAAAGTTATTAATTAAGAGATTGCGGAGCACAGAAGGAAAGCAAGATAGGAAAGACGAAAGTCGCAGGGAAACAGAAGACCTGCAGAAGAAGAGGGGTCGGGGTGGCCGCACACGGCGGTGGGCGAGAAAACCGCGGTGGTTTTATTTATTGTGCCACCAGCCGACAGGAAGCGGTTTCATTCCCTTTCCTGTCCCCGAAAAAAAACAGCTTTAACTCACAGCACACAATATTTGTGGTAAAACCACTAAACCTCCAAAACCGCAATTTTTGCTCTCTAGATTTTCTTCGTTAAGTGGTTTATTTTTTGTCCGTTTCCGAGCAAACCCCACGATGACTGACTTCCACCACCGACCTCACACCAAAACGCTACACTACTCCAACTCAACAACCCTTCACTACATTTTATTTTTATTTTTATTAATTAAATTTTATTTTAAGTTTATTTTTAAATCTCATAATACCAAATCAGAAACTGTAATGGTCTAAATCCACCGCTAGCAGATATTATTGGGCTTTCCCTTTCGGGCTTCCCTTCAAGGCTTTAAAACGCGTCTACTTGGGGAAGGTTTCCACACTCTTATAAATGATGGTTTGTTCTCCTCCCCGACAATGTGGGACATCACAAATGGTATCAGAGCCAGATATCAGACGATGTGCCAGCTTTCTCGCTGTTCCCCGAAGGGTGGTAGACACGAGACGATGTGTCAATAAGGACGCTGTGCCCCAAATCGTGTGGATTTGAGGGCGGTTCCACATCGATTGGAGGAAAAAAAAAAAAGTGTCAGCAAGGACACGGGCCCGAATGGGGGTGGATTATGATGTTCCCACATTGGTTGGGGAAGAGAACAAACCACCATTTATAAGAGTCTGGAAACCTTCTCCTAGCAAACGCTTTTTAATGAAGGGAAGCTCGAAAGAGAAAACCTAAAAAAGACAATATGGGCTAGCGCGCGAAGAAATTTGAATTTATTTAAATTTAAGTTTATAAATACCACGTTGTTGGGCCTGTTGGGCTCTATTTGAAGAAAAGCCCAAATAATTGTCGAACTGTTGGGCCTGTTGGGCTTTATTGTTGCGCGCCTATTCTCCCGCGTCCCATTCGTCTTGAAGCTGTGTTGCTACGTTCTTCCTTCATTGTTTGCTCTCTTCTCCAGCTTTCTTCAGGTGAATTGGTTACGTTTTCTTTCTTTTTCTCTTGGACTTTTTTGTTTCTTCAATGACGATGACGGTTTTGTTCGTCGGCGAAATGGTGTTATCATTGATACAGAGCTTTGTAAGTTCTCGAACTTTAAAATATTGTTGATTCTTGGATTGGATTGGAATGGAATAGTTGCGATTATTGGTGTGGATTTCTTTTGTTGAGAACTTTGTTCTTTTTCGTTGTTTTTTTCGATTCGGATTTTTGTATTTTTTGAGCTATGAGGCATCGAAAGAATTTGTATTCTACTCCTTGAGTGAGAATTGGTTTATTTGTTTCGGCTCTTTGATTTGTTATCTTCTCGACTGCGAAGGCTTAACTTGTAAGATGTTTTGTTTGATCGTCTGTGCTTTCTGTTTTTGTTGATTTTTAGATATATGGACTCTGCTGGAGGTCTGAGTTTGCATCCGTCGCACCGTTGTAAAACTATTCATCTGATCTGTGATAGAATGTTTTCGCTCTCGATGCACTTAAAGTTGGCTATCTATTTTTCTTGGATTTTAATTTGTTGCTTGTTCTTATTGTGGAGTTCATAGCTTCCGTTTGCATTTTTCAAGCATTTGAAGTTTATATAAATTTTACAGGTGAGAAATGCTCAGGGAGTTCATAATGCTGCAATGGAAAAGGATTGCGGTTTGCTTCAGTCTTCTGATTATTTGGATGCTCAACTTATCATTTTAGGATGGCAACAGGTATATGCCTATTTTATTCGTACTTTCTACGTATGAGTCTACATACTTAAACACAACATTTACATAGGGAAAACGGCAATTAATTCGTGATAAGCTGATCAAGCTTTACAAATCATATCAAGATTGGTTCAGTGATGTTAAAGGACTCGTATGGTTAATTTAATCATTCATCATCTTCATAAACACTGAAACATCAATTTGTTCTAATATCCAAAAATAATATATTCCCACATTTTAGTTTAAAAGTCTCTCGTTAGTTTCTTCTACTATAAAATGTCTACATGTTAATCTAGGAGAAGATTAAGAAAACCAAGTATGCAAATAGTTGGTAAAAGAGAGAAGACATACTCGTGTTAAGCAATGTTGTTTATGTCCATGGAGGTCAATTTTTTTCTTACTATATTTCCAATTATTATCGCTTAAGTTGTTGCAGTCATTAAATTTTCTTCCTTCTTTACTTCATGCTGTTGAATCCTTTTCACTAGAAAGAACAAGTTGAGAAATAGTTGCAAGGATTATTCGGTAGCTATGTTATGACCTTCGTTGATGCCTTCGAATGTTGACAACTGCTAACTTCAGTTACACTTATGTCCCTTTCTATGATTATTCCTTCTCCCTTCTTAACTACCAGACCAAGAACTTCGTGGTTACGAGTGGAGAAGATAATTTTTTTACACCCAATACGCAACTCGGTGCCTGAACGACTTTAACGTACGGAAAAGGTAAAACAAAGGCAAATAAGTTATGTCACTCCCAATTATAAAGCTTCTTGCAAAGAAGCCCTCGACTCTTGAAAACGTAGAACTTTGCATTGGTATACAGAAGTTATACGGGTCCTTTGGGTGTTGGCGTTCGCATCTCTTGATTTTTTATACTTAATGGTTTTCTACCTTGGCCAGGCTGTGGACACGGAAGGAGAAAGAGATTGCAATTGCCACCCACAGCGTGTTCTTATTTAAGCTTCTGAAGGGTTTTGGAAATGACTGCCATCCATCTATAAAGAGCGAAATCTGCAAATAGTAAGCATTACCCTAATCAGAATGGCAACTTCTAAGTCAGCACAACTAGAAAAGGCTTATTCAAAAATCAGCTTGCACCAATAAAAAAGAAATCGCTATGGATCATAGACAATTTGACGTACAAAATCAGATGCAGTGGTTTTATTTGGAGTAAGTGGTTTCACCCAATTCAACTCATTATTTGCAGTATGAAGGGATCAGATTCATCATGGACCAATTACCCTGGCAAAACTTGAGGAAGAAGCTACAAGTTGCGTAGTAGCTTGAAGAAGGTAAAGCTCGTGCTGTTCATTTTCTCCTCATATGGGAACACCATAAATGTCGTCTTCATCGCTAATTGTATCAGTAAAGGTTCCAACTCTTTTAGTTTATTCCATTATTTGGGGAAATGCTACTCCAATGAAAGCCTTCAAAATTCAATTAGGCACGAATTAGGTCAGTTCAAGCCTGCAATTTGTCAAATGATGGAGCTCTCAACTAAAATTTCCATGGCTTCATATCTCGGAGGTACATATTTCTATTTATATTTCATTAATTATAGGGATCTGTACTCTTAATTTGTCTTCCATGTGTAAACTTCCTATTTTTTATATGATCAAATTAGAATAAGAGAACGAAAAACAGGACATACCCTTCTAGTTTTGTCGTTTTGTCGGTGCTCGGGCCAACCTAGCCTTCTCTACATTGAAATGTCACCATTTTGTGGAGCCAGAAATTTTGTATGAAATGGCAAATGTGGCATTAAGAAGTCTTAGGAAATAACAGTACTCTGAACATGGGCTGAAAGAAACGGTTACCTTTGACCAACCCAAAATCCAAAACAAAACCCATCGGCGTATGATGCTCTCTAATGGCATGGCTATCAAAATTGGTGTAAGAAAGCTAAGCTAAGCTTAAGTAAATAATAAATCATGATCCCATCATGAAAAGAAACACGAAGCCAATGATAACTGCAAGGATAAGGACGAAAACAGCCATCATAATATTAATACCACTGGACTTGCTGCTTGAAGTTGCTGTACTGCCAGTTATCGTGCCATCGTTTCTGTTTTTCTTCTCTAATGAAGTCTCCGCGCATTGGAAGGGTACAGCCACATCCCAAAATGATTCTGCTGAGAGGGAAAGAGCCTCCTTTTCTGGTTCAAGAACTGTCGTCATGTCCATTGGTGCTTCCATGGACATTAATTCGGTGCAGTGTTCTTTTAAAACCTATAATGATGTTACAAAGACCTAAGTTAGCAAAAATAATTTACTTCCTAAGAAAAACTTCGATCTCGAACGTAACTTAAGAGTAAAAAACAAACAAATACAAGCAGCAATGACAACAATTGCAAGGGAAGAAAATAAAGAAAGAAAGAAAGGGGGGAAAAGGCCTGAAGTACAGACCGCAGTGGTCTCAGATGGTTGCAAATAGTCGCAGATGTAAATGTCTGCCAACCAAGGAACAAACACTCTTCGGGGAAATGAGAGGTTGCACTGTTTCCTGCACTCAGAAGCATTGAGGAACAATAGTCAAGATCCACCACCAGAAAATGCGAATTTCAGACCACGCCCACTAAAATATGCAGTCCAAAAAGGATGGGCATTTGAATGAACGAACCGATACTAGCATCAAGAAGATTAGATGCTCAAAGGAAATGACCTAAGTCTATATCTCCCTTTCCGGGTATACGCCAAACGCCATTAATCTATTATGAATACATCCAAAAGAACTGCAGCATCATCATCATAGAGACATCCATCTATTATAAATTCTTGTTTGATCTCTTTTTTAAAAGTAGGATCCACAATTACAAATTTTAGACCAAAACTTGTTCTCAGAGGTTCCAGCAAAAGAATTTGGTTAATTATGGCAATCTATCCTTTAATGTATAACCCACGTACCTCAACGAGTGAAGGAAGAGCTGAGAAACATGTTCTGATGCCACTTCATTTGCATCCTCATGAACGTCGTGTGCTTCCTTATCTGCGTCAACCTCATCGCATATTATGTCCAGTCTACTCTGTAAACTTGTGATGATATCTCCCTGTGAAGAAAAAACACGTTTTTACAAAATAAGCAGCAAATGTTAATGCATTATACAAAGTCCCGACAGTTTCGATCTTTATATAGTCAAACAACAAAAGTTATCCCACAGTTTGAATGTCTTTCAAGTAATGACCAGTCACCATGTAAAAGTGATTATCACTAAGAAGATGACTTCGACGCCTTTCATGATTAAAGAAGAGCAGAACAAGTGAGCCAGCACATTGAAAAAGTAACAATTGAAAGGTGAACCAGATAGACGAACTTGAGAGTATTAATTGAAAGCAAAATTTTCACAATCAATTTTAAGAAACTGCGACTAGTTATGAAAATTTTGAAATCAGATTGGGGGAGAAAGTGGTTCATAATCCATCATTAATCCTTACAGCCATTCGAAGAACAAATGGGAGGAGGTGCTTTTCTTTGTAAAATAAGTGGAAAATTAGAGAGGGTGGATTTTGGAGAATATTATTTCCATTGAATGAAGTAATAGTAAGGCGGTAAAGACCTCTTTGAATTATGAAGCAACAAGACACTGTTAACAGAGAGGATGAGTTCAAAGGAAGGATCTTACTGTCCATAGCCAACGGACATAAACAGAACAATGGGAAAAAGAAAATTGTAACAGCTCAAGCTCACTGCTGGTAGATACTGTTCTCTTTGGGCTTTCCCTTCCAAGCTTCTCCTCAAGATTTTGAAAACATGTTTGCTAGGGAGAGGTTTTCACACCTTTGTAAAGAATGTTTCATTCCCCTTTTCAACCGATGTGGGATCTTACAAAAATAACAGTTACAAGATGGTACAAGCAGTTTAATGAGGGAGAAAGAACCATCAAAGGCTTACGGTGGAAGGCGGGATAAACGAGTGAGAATATGTGGAAGGAGGAGAAGTTAAAATTATCTCTACTCAAAAGGGTGTATTTTTCTGGTGGAAAGATACTTTGAGGTAAATCTTCCCGTGTCTTTTAAGTCCATCATACAATTGACAAATTGAACACTTCATAAATTTCAATAAGGAAATCAGATATCAGCTCATCACATAACAAGGCCAAGGAATAGAAAGTAAAGAACTTTTATGACTTCAATTTTTAACAGGCAATAGAAGATTTTCACCTCAAAGTCAAAGGACGTAAAATTAAACATTGGAAATGTTACCTTAATTTCCGTTACAGCTTCGGAAACGGGTTCTTTTGAATTCAAATAAGCAAATGAACAAACCGAGCCTCTAATGACAACGATACCATCAACCTCTTTTTGTCTGCACGCTGTACAAAAGAAACTTTAAGGGAAAAAATTCATCAAAGAAAAGAACCACAAGGAACATTTAAACAAAATAGAGCCAGTAAACCTTCAAGAGACGTATCTTTCAGGAATGGTAGGAGTAATTCAATTTCATGCAAGTCTCCTAAAGTAGAAGGGGCACTAACCACCTAGTAAGAACGAAGGAAAACCATGGAGATCATAAATCAACTAAACCAACGCAATGAAAGAACTATAAATAATTTTAAGGTAAAATTACTTTTTTGGTCGCCGAGTTTTTAGGAATAGGTTCGTCTGGTCCCTAAAGTTTCAAACTCTTACCTTTTTATTCCCTAAATTTAGACTTGTCACTAGGTCTAAAAAAATAGAACAAAAAACGTTAAAAATAATAAAAACTTAGGAACTAAAAAGGTATTTTCCCATAATTTAAATAGAACAAAAGGTGCTCAAAGCTAGAATACACAAACCTATTACTCGAACCTCTTTCGTAGGACTAAAAAGATGCATTTTAAAACCTCATGGACTAAACGAACCTATTCCTGAAACCTCAAGGACCAAAACGGTAATTTCCTCATAATTTACTCATAGGTTGCACAACAGAATTGTTCTACTAACCAGATTGCCATCAATCATGGCCTTTGCATCTTTTAGAACATCAGCTTGAATCGAAATTCCATTACGAATTACATTTATTAATCTTTGGACATTTGATGCCCTCGAAACAGGTAACCTGGCAAAAAGTAACAAAGCACACAGAAAAAAAAGTCAAAATACAGCACTAAGAGATACATTCAGGATTGTTGCAAAATTTATAGGAGACAATACGGAGCATAAAATTAAAGATAACTTGTAGTTTAGTTAATGAGTTTTCATCTTTTTGTCTTTTTAGTCTTTTGAGTTTACAAACCTTACGATTCCTAAGTTTTTTCAATTTAGCCACTACCAACCTCAAGTATTCTTCCTTTCCCTCCATAAACCCATAAAAAAAATCTCTGCAAACTTCTCTTCTCTCCTTTAGCTGCACTCAATATGTGCAAAATACTGGGATCATAAAGAGCCTTCTCCCAAAGAGTGAACTTTACGAGGGTGCTGGGGCATAAGGGGCAGTGCGAGTTCCGTGGGGTGTTGGTATAAATTCTACATACATAGGAGGCAAAAATACAATAGGATATACTTTCCAACCCACACTCTCTACACAGCTCATAAATGACCTCCCACCTCACGAAATGAGACCCTCCTTGGCTCCCACTTAAAATTGACTATAGAATGGCTTATGACCACGTTGCTTGGAATTTCATGCATAAGAAGTGTGGAAAAGAGGCATGGACAAAGGTTTAGTAGAATTGATCGAGATCTTGGATATAGAATTTTATGATCGAGATCTTGGATATAGAATTTTATGCTCGAGATTCTTGAACATGACCAGTTCAAGTCAAGTTCTTGGATCTAGAATTGCTCGAGATCAGCAAACTTCTTCCTCTAGGTCAATAAGGAGCAAGATTCCTACAACAAGAAGAACAAAATGTGGAGATCCCCTATCCTTTTCTCCTTGGTGGTATACATTTGTAACAAACGTTTGCCTAGAAGAGGCATGGACAAAGGTTTAGTAGAAAGGTTCATCACTCGGATAGAGCAGCTTGTTTTATTCACTTGTAATTTTCTAATGATAGCATTTCTTCGCTCTTAGCGAGGAGGATTCTTTTATCAACCTTAATAGGATTTTATAGGCCTTCAAGACTATTTGAAGCCTTAAAATCAATGCAAAGAAATGTTCCTTTGTTGAGGTTAATTTGGATACAAAAGCTGTATAGGTGGGCTCACTTGGTGAAGCATGAGGATTTTTTCAAGGGGTGGAAGGTTCACATTAATACATTATCTTAGGCTGCGAGCAACAAAGATCGACATTAAAGTATCTAATAGCGTCGTAAGAAAATAAAAGTGGGGATGATATAGTAATGCAAGTTACCTCATATCGAAGTTGTATATACACTTATATGTCTGAAGTGATGTTAAGACCCTTCCCATTTTAAAATCAGAAGGACGCAGGCTGTTTGATGTGAGATTTGATGTCAAAAAGAAATTTCTACATGTCCACCTGCCGAACTTGTTTGTCAGCACATCAAAAGTTTCTTGGCACTATGACTGTTCTAGAAGGAAGGGAAGTGAATTAAATACATGAGGATTTTGATGTACACACCTCCTTGGACTATAACAGATATGAACCAGGAGTCTTTCCTCTGAGTCAATGACTGTAAGTGGCGCTGCTTCTGCTACAGCCTTTACAGCCTGCAGGAAACAATATATTAGCATTTGATGGTCTCCCAACAGAACGTAGGAAATCTTCAATCCACCATAACACTGATTTTGGTTGCAGTAAGCTCAACGCTCAAAAGACTCCTCCCGATACGAAGGTTCCGACTCAAGCCTCTCCAAATCGTCTCAATAGCTAACTAATGGAGAAATTTCGAGAAAGAACTGTCGCAAAACCCCCTCACTAGGTCATTCATTAATCTATGAGAAGCTACTCATGTAACAGCCCAAGTCCACCGCTAGCATATATTGTCCTCTTTGAGCTTTCCCTTTCGGGCTTCCCCCTAAGGTCTTAAAACGTGTCTGTTAGAGAAAGGTTTTCACACCCTTATAAGCAATGCTTCGTTCTCCTCTCCAACCGATGTGGGATCTCACAATCCACCCCCTTGGGGCCCAGCGTCTTTGCTGGCACACTGCTCGGTGTCTAGCACTGATACCATTCGTAACACCTCAAGTCCACCGTTAGCAGATATTGTCCCTCTTTGGGCTTTCCCTTCCGGGCTTCCCCTCAAGGTTTTAAAACACGTCTGTTAGGGAGAGGTTTCCACACCCTTAGAAGCAATGTTTCGTTCTCCTCTCCAACCAATGTGGATCTCACAACTCATCAGTCCATATACTTGAATGAGTTGCAAATAAATCAATCTATTATCTACAACACTCAAAAGATGGACGAGTAATTTTTGCCCAAAAGAAGAAAAATGGACCCTACACCACAAGGTAAGCTCTGTAACCTTTCTAAAACTACATGCGAACGGGGTGACAATGATACCTGGCAAAGCATTAGGGTTGAATTCTTAACCGCCGTTTCACTAGCCCATACATAAACGCCAATCACCTTCACACCTCCCGGTAGCATTCGCCGGACCTGGAATGAAAATGATCAACAGCCTCTTTTGCAAATTCGGATCCCCAAAACATAATTCATAGCACAAGAAATGCATTATATCCATTAAGACTATCTTCGTAAATTAAGTATGAAAAACAATTGAATCCACCTGGCGAGCGTGTTCAGCAACCCAATCCTTGTCGATAACCAAAGACGAGGAATCGACAGCCGGAGATTTGCCTTTCGATCCCTTCTTCTTATCGTCTTTAATGGCGCCGACGAGTGAACAAGCCGCCTCTCCGGCATCGTTGGGAGGAGTTGGGATCAAATCGAACACGAAACCTCTATCTAATGAAGAGCTAATCCTTCCAATCACAAGGCCGATCTGTGAACCAAGCAGACCACGATTGACAATGAGAAAAACGTAAAGGAATGGACGGAAGAAGAGGAGAAATACCTCCGATGGAATTGCGGACTGAGCGAGGCGATCCTCGACGATTGTGAGCCGAGATTCTTCTGCCACCACAGCTTTCACCATGATAGCCGTGGCCGTGCTTCACCACAGCAATTTGGATGCAACTATGAAGAAGCTAAAGAAGAGAAGATTGCCGCGAGATTTAGCCTCAATTCTAAATGTTCTTCACCCTTACCCGCCAGTACTCGCTCGGTTCATTTCTTCCACTGGGTTTCTAGTTGACTGGGAATTTCTAATTGGAAGACCTACAAAAAAAAAAAAAAAAAAAAAAAAAAAAAAAAAAAAAAAAAAA